CACTAACTGCTTCTGACTTTGAAGTCAGACCTATGGCTGCTCTGCTCCTGGGAAGCTGCAGCTCCTCACCACTCTTGCTGTTCAGCTTCCAGGCAAAAAAAGAAATGAGAATTTACGCAGTGAAGTTCCAATTTCTGCCAGGAAACAGTATCTGAAGTCCCACTCACCTGTGACTCATTGCTCACTATATTAAATATTGTGTATTCAAGCTTAGCTTAGAATACAAGCTGCTCTTTGCCCCCAGACAGTTCAAAGCCTGGGGAAGGAAGCACTGTAGCCTAGCCAGCAGGATTAACAACCCAACTGGAAGGTCAAGGCACCGATGAGGCCTAGATCATAAACATACAGGTTGAATTTAGATGCCATTATAAGGACAATGGGCTCAGTTAGATTTCTCTTTTTTATCATCATAGCTATTTAAATAGGAAAAAGCATATTGAGTAGAGCTGGACTACAAGCAAATTCCAGTAAAAACATCCCTGTTTGGATCACAGTTAATGAGGTATAATTGCACTTTTGGCCTTTGCAGCTAAGCAGGTTACAATATATTTATTGAAGCCACCACTGATTTCTGGATAGAGATGTGTAAATAAGAATATTATATGTGACTCTAAATATTTTATTACAAGAGTCAGTAACCTTTACCAGCTGAAGCTGTGATCTCACCAAGAAGCAATGATATTTCCTTGTCAAGATGTATTTTTCATATGAGTTCACTGCTTGGCATTTATTACACACTATCCTTTAATGCTTACTACTTATTGGGTTTCTCATGATTTTATCCATGACAGTAATTGGGCAAATCGACCTAGATATGCACACATTTGCAAAACATGCACTTTTTCCAGTCTTCTTCTTCTCTGGGGTTTCTAGACCTGCCACAAATCACTACGAATATTTTAACAGTCTATGCTTTGAGCAGACTGGGGTGGAGCTGGTAGGGGTCCTGCAAATACGAGCCTGCTCAAAACTTAAAAATATGTTGCAGTTAAATGACCTTTTTTGGGTCACATCTACATCAGTGAAATTATATGGAGACAGTTATACCAGAGTAATGTAAGGAATCCTGATTTAGCCAAAGGATCCTCAGCATGGCCACATGTGGTGGTAAAGCTTGGCACTATATAAAACAATAATAACACATCTAGCCCCATAAGTGAAGCGTGAACAACAACAACAAAATTATTTGCTCCTAAAGGTTCAATCTATTATGTGAAGCAGGTGTACCCCACACTGTGCTGTCACGTGCTCACCCTTCAGTCAAGCTATCACAAAGCCATTGGCAGTGTTCCCCCCAGTTTCTACTTTCCAATGGAAATCAAGGCAAAGGGAGGCTGGAGTGGGATGAAAAAGCAGGGCACATCCCAGGTCTCAGCTCAACAATAAGCTGAGAGGAGACTGGGGTGCACACCTGCACCCAGGAGCTGGGAAGGGCTCCTGCTTTTTTACTCCATAGGCACAGCATTTGTGTATTATACCAGGGTCAGTTTTTTAAATGACCTGATTGTTAAAAAATGCTTTCCTCAGCCTTCAATGGAAAGCAGCTCTTTGGGCTGGTGATTTGGTGCTTTCAAAATGTTGATGTAATTTTCCTAACCCCTGACTTCCTGATCCCAAATCAGTCAAGAGGTTTGAGAAGGATGTATACAGAGCTCCCCCTACTGCTGTTCTCCTCTGTGAAGACCAAAAGGCTGCTGGATCCAGGTGAGACTGGCTGTGTCTGGCAAGGGGCAGCCCTGGCCTCCCATCTAGCTCTCATTGTCACAAAAACCACGAGAATTACTCACAAAACCCTTACGGATTCTTCAGAGGCCAAAAAGACAGGCAGCATCACAAAGGCAAACCAAGCCTTACAAGCACCTCCTGGTAGGAGTTTTACACCCCAGATTCCCCCCACAAACACAGCAGGGTGTACTAGTCAGACACTTGCTGTATCAGCAAGGTCTGAAGATGTGACATGAAAGTAAGGCCGAAAAACCAGCACTGCTGCATAAACAAATCATATACTCAGTAGTTTATCCCATGCCCTGCAGTTAACCATAGTTAATTGAAATACACCACAACACTTTTCTGAAGCATATCCAGTTTTTACCCCCATCCAGGCAGCTGACAAAAGGAACACAAAGCAGAAAAGCTGAGGGGGAGGGATGCACAACACAAACAAATGGATCCGCCACAATAAACTTCATCGTACAAATGAGTCCAACACCTCAAGTATAGCCACACCATCCCATACTCATGCTCCTTGTCCTCTAGTGGCCAGGCAGCACTGGCCTGCCACTCTCCCTTCACATACGCTGGACCTTCTCACTTCCAGTACAGGTCGTCAGCTGTGGCAGGACATGCCAGAAGGGGCCATGAGCAGGTGGACGTCCTCTCTCAAAGGAAGGAGCACAGACACACCTAGGGAAGGATATCAGGAAGGCCAGGAAAGTGATTTTATTTTAATATTGGTGTTTCAAGGGGTCAGAAGGAATGGTGGGAGAAGAATGGAAGCTATACCAGAAGCACAACATGGTTTATCTCATCATGCCAAGGAAGCAGAGCAGGGAAGCTTCTCCCCTCAGCACCCTGATCAGCCAAGGTCATTATGTTTGCCCTGCAGTGCAGCTGAAGGGAACCTTTGGAGACCAAACCAAGCATCACAGGGACTTAAAAACAATGAGAAAAGTCTCCTGACATGAAGTCTGATTTTCTGAAAAGAAAGAAGCTACTTGGTGCAGTTTGGCTTCACCATTCACCAGACTGTCCCCACCAGGGAGGACAACACTGAAGAGCTCTTGGTGCAGGGCAGGACAAAGGAGCAAACATGGTCACCTGTGCACAACAGCCACCACACCAACTGGGGTTCACCGTGTCTTGAGGCCTTGGATGGGGATGCTCTTCCTGCTTGCCATTTATCATCAAAGAAATCCAAACTGATTTTAGAGGCTACAATATAATTACATCTGAGCTTTTGCCACTGTGAGTAAACCTTGAATTATGGGGAGGTAAAAAACCCTGTCTTCTCATCTACAACACAGAACGTAGCTGAGAGAAAGGCAACTTTCATCTTGTCAGCTGGCATCCTATGGACTTGGAAGTTCTTGGTATGAAAAGGAACAAATGTGATTTTCCCTCAGTAACTTTGGTGCTCTTTTATGTCATTGAAGTGAGAACTCAATCTAAATTAGTTTAATGCTTTATAATGTAATGTTTGCACATTGTGCAATCCAGCCTAATTACTTTACAAGTCCAGCTGATACAAAACAGGGCAAATACACTTTTATTTCATGCTTCTGTTATATCTAGACATGAAGAGATGGGATGTGAGCTGCAACTGCAAGGCTAGCTGCATCTCTCAGAAAACCAAAGACGTCCTGAACCAGATTCAAACCTCCCTTTGCTTTTCTTGCTTGTAATCAGAGCCAGTGTCATGGCCACTAATGGCAGTGCACACAGTCAAGCAGTTACAGGAGTATCAGTGCTTCCTTTAAAATATTCTCCAGTAAACACACACTGTAAAATCATCTTCTGGTCTGCTACAGAGTTTCCCAACCTCTGAAGGGTGGGAATGGCAAAAGACAACTGACAGAACCCGTGATGGCTATCTGCAAAACATGGGGAGGTACCTGGAGCCAGATCCAACTCTCTCAGGACATGCTGAACTCAGGAAAGGGTTCATGTTTGGTAGCACTTTTCAGTTTTTCAGTAGAGAGAAAATAGAAAACAGAAGGAGATAACTGAAAGCTAAAAATAATACAGTAAAAGTGTAGTAGCACTTTTCCTTGCGAATAGTTCCTGTAAATGCTGGAGGGAAGTTATGTGACCCTGAACAAGAAATGAAGGAGGCTTCACACTAGAAAATGGAACCCTTGAGTCTCTCTCCCTCTTTAGCTGTGGTTTATGTTATTAAAAAATAAATAAAAATCTGAGAAATCCCAGAGTACTACAGTCCGTCAGGTCCTGCTGAGGCAAAACTCTGAGTGCATCACTAAAATTTTGTCTAAGCAGAAGCTAAGATACAGAGACTCTCATAGCTAATTAAAAATATATCCTAAAAAAGATTACCCTTCAGCAGTCTGCCTAGACATGCGGAAGAGTAACAAGGAGAACACTCTTGCTCCTGAAAGCAAAGTGGGCTAGTGGGCCCACCTTGGGTGCCCCTCTTTTGCCACCCTGTACCTCTGGGTTAC